CCAAAAGTGGGTGGCTAATGGGCGCTGGAATCGCAAAGACGGGCTCCTTGCGGATAAGGCTTGGCGGAGTTTGGGCTGAGTTGTTGAGTTTGGCGGTGGTGACGGGGCGGAGACCGGCGGCTCTTGGCTGGCCGGATATTGGGGTGAAGATTTGGGAGGCGAAAATGGCCGACATTTTGGAATGGGCCACGAATAATTGTCCCTTTATATATTGAATATAATATTATGCTGAACACTATCAACTTACATTGCATTGCATATTTGCATGTCAGTGTTATTATAAAACGGATAAATGAAAGCGAAAGGAGTGTAAACCACAGCTTCTCTATCGGGTTGCAGATTAGGTTTGGATGTGGGACTTCAATTTTCAACCTCAATTTTATTTATTTATTTATTTATTTATTTATTTTTTCTTTAAGGGGGAGTTGATTTTGAAATAAATGAATGCATTAAATATATGATTGATAATTCTCATATTTTTTATTGGTTGCATAGGCCGCTAGCTGTTGATGGCATGCACGAGTAATGGTCGTTTTGCAGTATATATTCAGTTATTCACTCTCGAGTCTTGAGGTACTTATATACGAATTTATTTTCCTAGTATCGATTTTTTTTTTCGATCAAAATAATCTTATAAGTTATAATTATACCTGTTGATTTTATCTTGCTAATCTATATATAACAAATGGTGTTTGAGTATGAATTAAATTAAAATGTTTGCAAAGACGTGACATGTATATTTTAGACTACAAATTAACGAATTATATAAATATTTGGCAAGTGAACGACAAATATCAGGGACCAAAAACCAGTATTTTCCACACAAAAGGGACACGTGTGACAGGTATTACTACATAATCACTTCAATGGTGTTTGAAGATCGGATGATAAAAAAGGATGAGACCCTTATCTTCGAAACTTGGATCCAATTTGGCTTCACAATTCTCAACTGCATCTTATACTATATGAGACTAGTATTTTTATTATTGTGCAGTTATACTTTTTTTTTTTACCCCTATCTACTATTTTCAAGAGAAAAAAAACGGAAAAATACGAGAAAGGAAGAAAAAGTACTTCACCAAAGTGTTGAGCACAAAGTTTTGTGCACGATACATCATATAAGAAACCAATCACATATTAATTTAATTTCACCCTACTATATATATGTTATTGCAATTGGATTAATATTCCAGTGAACAAGTTTTGCAAGTAATTTCATGAGGGCTAACAATATAGCTTTTTCTTATTAAATGAAATAGAAATAATTAGCCAATTAGAACGATAATAATAAAAATAGAACACAAAAAGTTATACTAACCCTTGATTCTTCTTTTCCAAACTCCAGTTAAGGAGATGCAAGTGCAACCATGCAGTAAGTTTGAGATACAGGCTGCCAAACGGTCCATGCCAATAACATTCTATTTTTAATTATTTTAAATTTATTTTATACAATGATAAACGTAAATCCCAAAAAAAATTAGAAACATAATTATATGTCTTCCAAAAAGAAAATAATGCACAAGAACGAAACAACCAAATGAGAATTTCTAAGTGGCAGATTTTAAATACACAAATGCTGTCGGAGTCGATAATGAAAACTGGTTTTCTCAAAATAATTAAATAAATTATATAATGAAAACCGGCAGGATTTCACTAATTTATACCATTAGTCACACTATAGAAGTTTGACTAAAACTTCAAACAGCACAAACAAGTTAATAAAAACACGCTGTGTTAAAACTCTTGAGGTAGAGCTTTGCCGCCCTTGTGGTCCTACCCGGCTCGATTCCGGATTAGTCGGTCCCCTAGGGGATTCGGAAACCGGAAGGTTCATTGTACCAAAAAATAAAAAAGTTAATAAAAACACAAAACCCAAAGAGTTAAAACTATGAATACTTGAAAACTTTTGAAAACTACAGAAGCCATTTGGAATTGACTTTATTTGGGCCAATATTTAGACCAGCCACACATTCCTGGGCCCATTTTGGTTTCAATAGGCTATGAAAGAAGTTTGATGAACTATACTTACATTAACCGCAGCTTTTCTTCGTACAATATCACGGAATTTTTCAACACAACATACAGGATAAGACTCTATGAATAACTATTTGCTTTAGCACATCAAATGGGACACACACTTTTCCTTTTGACGATTTGAGGACTTTGCTAGTACTCCAACGAGTATGAACAAGATCAGTTGGTTCAAGCTACATTTTCACACATAGAATGTTTATATTCTTGTATAGAAAAATGTTCCCCACGAAATTAATGTCATGTGCTGAAATGTTCGGCTGTCATTTTGGTGCCAGCTTTATTGGACAGACAGCAAAAGCACAACATCGAGCTGCCTTTGCCAACGTAAAGCGCTCATTCTCGGTCAACGGCCTCTCAATGACTTTCACAATATTTGCATCCTGTTACATCAGCAGGTTTTAGTGCCATCAGCATTAATTAGAGAAAAAAAAAAAGTATCTGATATCAAGGTAAAATACTATTTGTACAAGTCTCACAACCTTTACTTTTGCAATTTGTTGGAATGGAAAGTTAAGAGATTAGCTGCCTAATGACTAAATTAATAGTCTGTAATTTATGGTTTGAGAGATTTAGTCAATTGAAATTCTTCAATTGTGGTTTTAAATTGTGTTACCTTCTTTTGCGGCTGGACAGAAGGTCTCACGCTGGCAGTATCACCAATTTCTATCACATTGTTAATATTTCCCCGGTCGTCCCTTTCAGTCGGTGAAGCTGTTGAATGCCTCCAGTTTCCATTAGTTATGTATTTGTAATAATACCTGCAACAATTAAATTTACACTTTTGGATTACAATATCTTACTTGGATCAGTAAAATTATTGTTCACCATCCAGTAGGCCATGTTTTATCACAATATGAATTTTTTACACAATTGTTATTGAAAAAATGGCAGGCTTCAAGATGGCAGTAGATGTATTTTGGCCCGCTCTAGAGTGCAAGCCTTTAGTATAAAAACTGGGCATGCAAAATTGCAAATAGCTATCATTTATACCCACTAACAAATTTCAAAATCTCTATATTAGGACTCCGAATAATAATAAAATTTGGGTACTACTTACTTCCCCTGAGGAAGTCTAACTTCAACTTCGTATCTTGGACCACCCTTATGGACGGCCTTGATCGGCTCTTTCCAGTTCCCAGTAAAATCCCCCACCAAGTATACATCTTCTCCCTGAAATCCCAACACATTTCTAAGATGGGATGAAAAGGAACGAACTGGACTTATAATTCGATTACGAAGATAATTAGTATGTGTGTGGCTCCATATTCATTTCTTTGATTTGAGTATGATAATTCTCTCACCTCGAGTCCGTTCCACACGAAGGTCAAAGCATGGGTCGGAGGCCCATCATGTCTGCCTCTTTCGACCATGGCCATGAGATCCCATGTGGCCCAGGCAATTGCTGGCCTGCATTTTAAAATCTTCTATTCAATATAGTTTCGCCTTTTTTTCAGACAACCAAAAATAACAATATATAAATCAATATAGCCAGGCTCGTAGACTCTTACTACTTTGTTAAACATCTATTTAGTGTGAAGAACCCACCAACATTTTACACAAACAAGAAAATAAATTACATAGAAAAATTTCATGAATAGAGATATATTACCGATCAGGCTTGCAGGAATGCAACCCAGTAACAAAATTGCAAGCTGCATGAAGAGAGGTATCTGTCATCCAGTGGAGGTATGCAATCACACAAGCAGGAGACCGTTCAAATCCAGTTGTGCAAGTGACATAAACACGATGATTCTTCTTAAGTAAACGTAGTAGAAGACCAACACAGAATGGCAGTTTCTTCCTCACGTCAAAAGAATCTGCATTCCTGAAACAGATCAACATGACAGAGAAGAATAGTAATCACAGTGGGCACAAGAAGACTTTTCCAGTAACTAGCCGTACCTTGAGTAAAGAATGGAGAGTAGAGTTGACAAACAGATATTCATTGAGTTACTTGCTTAATGTCATTATTAAATAAGAAGTGTTTTTGAAATTTATATATAAGTACAAGCAGGCACCACAAACCCCGACCATTACCTTATTGGATAGTTAATCATAAGAATATTAAATTTTTGGCATGACTCATTGATTGAATTTGAATCAATTCCCCAGTTTGCAGCTTCAATTGTGCTCTGAAAATTCAGGACAGCAGTAACTCCCTGGTAGGTATGATGGCAGACAGTTTTTGAGGAGCACATAAACAGGGACTAATTAAAGGAACTTTAAAGTGATAATGCTCTAGACCAAATTATAATGCTCTAGTTGGATACCATGTTCGTGGTGAAAGATTAAATGAAGGCACAACTATCTTACCGCAGCTGTAGACAAATTCTCTACATCGCTTTCAGTTTGAATACATGAACCAACATAGATCTGTTCCGTGATCTATATCATAATAAAATAAAAACATCATCAGAATGAAGCTCAAATTTACAGGATCATGCTCCATATATTTAATCATGAAAACAATGTTTCCTAGTGTAATGACATATGAGATACAATTTGACTCTCTCTTGATTTCCACTTCAACTTTCTTTTATATTGTTGATACCAACAACCTCTGAGAAACGGGAGAGCAGAAATTTAAGCACGATATGGAATTTAGCTCAAAAGCACACCTTACTATAGCGCATACCAAGAGAATGATTATAATGGAGATCCCCCTCCGCACGTTCCAATGCCAGCGCATACTCATCCAACGGGAAGTTCCCATGGGCCCACTCAGCATCTTGAGACATTTGTTCCGTGAAAATTGCTACTAGAGGACTGAATGGTGGGGTAGGGGTGTTATTAACCATTTGCAACCGGTCATTCTTGTTTTGATTGTTTAAATAGTTCCTCCCTTGGGTAGTTAAAAACTTTGGACAAAAAACCACAAACCCAGAATTACCACCACTCTTCAGATTTGATGCCTGTATATTTTTGTTCCAAGTAACAACTGGAACACGGCCTCGATTGAACAAAACATCAAGATCATCAACACGAAAAAGTTGATGGATAGGAAACGGTGAGAAAGGTCTCTCAAGAACAAGGCTAAATGATCCCGATTTCTCGTTTCTAAGACTCCTGCATATAATTGTGACAAACAATATGAATATGCATCTAGATGGACTATCATCAAAACAGAAAATATTTTCACTGCAGCAGAAATCTCGATGCATGACAAACATTTTCATGTCTAACATCAAATTCGCAATATCTGTTTCAGCTATAGTCAAAATCATACTCTGTATCTCCAAAGTCTCTGATCTCGATAAGCTTCCCACCAGATGATTCGCTCGCCTTCTTTAATGTATCCCCCACCATAACTATTCTCGACTTCTCAGCATTACCCTGTACCATCACTTTCTCAAATTTGTTAAAACGAGACACCACCACCGCTTTCCCAGCAAATAAAACGATATAACCAATATAACACTATCACAATCCTTCTCCGCATATGAAAGTAGGCTCTGTACTCATCGTCCTACTTATTTCCTATAACCAACTTAATACAGTAGGTGCAACTAAACTGAAGTATCTCACCATAGCCTATGAAATTATTTAAGCACACATCATAACATATCATATCAACTTAAAGTACAGTTGATGCAACTAAACCAAGCATTTCACCATCACGCCTCTGAAATTACTCGAACTCATAGCATCATGACATCGGTCACACACTATCAACAACAACAACAACAACAACAAGATTCCGTACCCCTTTCTGAAGCGCATGCACGAAAATTCTTCCGTCAAGCGAGAGCGCGAAACGGATGCCCAGCGGTCTATCAAGCGTCACCATGTACTCGTTCAGATTCATCTTCAACTCGCCCGAAGACATCACAAAAACCCTAGAATTCCTCCCGCTCGGCCGCAGCCGCCTCTTCATCTGTAGCTCATCGCACAAACCCAAACCTCCGGGCCTAAACGACGAATCGAACGCGACATTGCTATTCCGAGCCTTCTTCTCGACCGGACAAAATTTAACTGCGAACTTCGACTGGTCCACGCCTCTGCAATTCGGCAACTGCAGAGAACACATCTGGAGGCTGCTAAAAAACTATCAAACTTGTCAAAAAGAAAACTCACGCGAATCGAGTGATTCAAACAGTAAAAAAAAATTTAGCTGTTGCTATTTCCTGAGCAGTAAAGCATCTAACTGAAGTATCTAATTGAGATTGGAGCTTTTTTTTTTTTTTCTTGGGGAAGAAAAAAGAAAAGGAAATTGAGGAAGGGCGGTAGCCGGTAGTGTTGACTGTTGAGTGATGGGATAAATGAGGAAGAGGCGCCACAGCCGGGAAAGTCCAAATGACTACCATACTCATTTTTTGGCTGATATTTTTAGCTTGCTGTGTCTGGATTTATTGCTACGTCACTGCTAGAAAGATCTACAAATATCCCGTCATTTTTGGGCAATAGTAAAAATTATTTGGGCCACTAAGTTGCAGCAGTGTTGGGCTGTATAGCCCATTAGATAGTCCTCCCTTGAACAATGCATAAACTACCAACTAATTGGGATATACAATTGGAAAAAAAGTCATGTTACATGAAGGATTGAAAATATTAATTTGTACCTATAAAAAATAAAAGTAATTTAAAGACTAAGAATGTTGTATATAAAAAGATGTTCAATAAAGTTTACCTCTATGAATTTTTATAAATCACAATTTTTCTTTTAATGTGTAACTCCCGTGTATTTGCATGGATAATTGTACTAATATTAACTAAACATAAACGAGCACCACCAACAAAGCCGCCAAACACAATCTTATACACTAATTAATTTATCATTCAAAATTCGAAATGAAGCCCATGAATCTATCAACTCTCAAATTTATAACTCTAATTCAAAATTCGAGCTCAAGCCTTAACAAACAAACTAAGACTCAACGCATCATGGTTAATTATTCAAACCTTAAAGAGTCGGGTTCGTGAATGACTCATTGCGTTTAATAGTTCACACTATTTAAATATAGAAATTGGAAGTACTTCGCATAGCTTGAGTCGCCGGAGTCAGGAGCGAAACCAGAAAATTAATTAAGAGAGGGCAAAAGACATGACATAATTTGTAAAAGATAACAAAAATATTTAAAACAAGTTACCTTATAATTACAATTGTTGGCCTTGTGAGTAGAGCTGCAAACGAACTGAACGTTCGCGAAGAAAAGCTCATTCGAGCTCGTTCGTGTTCGACAAAACCTCGTTCGTTGCTAATCGAGCCGAGTTCGAACAAAAAATTAGGCTCGTTTAATAATCGAGCGAACACGAGCTCGTTCGTGAACGTTCGATTATGTTCGCGAACATTAATTTAATATAAGTTTATTTTATTTTTTATATATTTACATAATATTTTTAATAAAAAATCTAAAATTTAATATAATTTATTTATTTTTTATATATCTACGTAATATTTTTAATAAAAAATCTAAAATATATTACTATTTTTATTCTATTCTTTTACTTTTGAGTTCAAACGAGTTCGATCGAACAAATTTCGAGTTAATCAAACATATTTAAAAAGTTTCTGTATAATATTATACGAACACGAACGAACTCGAACCTTGACGAACAATTAAACGAACGAACTCGAACACGATTTTTTGCTCGAAAAATAAACAAATGAACACGAACACGAACACTGATCGAACGTAAACGAACACGCGCTCGAACAACCCAAGCTCGGTTCGATTCGGTTCGGTTCGTTTACCGCACTGCTTGTGAGTGACGTTTAAAAACAAAAAATTTGGGAGACAAAAAATAATTTAAAAGGGGAACAAATTAAAATTTTCAATTATAATAGTAAAAAAAATTAAAATTTGAGGGGGAGGCAATTGCCCCTCTATTGGTCAATGTAGATTCACCCCTGGCCGGAGTTATAAGCCGGTCTATAAAGCAATCTTTGAATAAGAAAAGATGATACACGTTCATATTTTCAATGTTTCTTGCCTTTTAGACATGAAAAGATATCCCCCACCTTACCATTATCCAACCAACACTCCAGTTCCCATCTTTGAAGGCAAAATATCAATGGTGGAACATGGTTTTATTGAAAGTTTCACTCACGGTACAATGAATCAATTATTCCTTAAGTCGACATGTTTGAGAATTGCTTCACTTGTATTTATTTGACATAATGAAATTAAAGCTTCTAGATCAATTGATTTGTGGATTGACAGTTTATGCTAAATATTTTTTATCTACGTGCGAAGTGTTTGCAATGTTCTAAAAATTGGAGTTAGGCAATACCGGCACAATTGAAAGTGATTTGACTTCATGCATGCTTCTGCTCAAATAACGGATCCATTCAGAAAATTGAAATACTTAAATTGAGATTATTATGTTATATTTTGATTTTATGAATAATAGTATTATTCCAAATGAATGTCATATATTCTAATCAACATACTCCATTATGACATGATTGGTATGAGGAAATGACATAAAAATGGAATGTTCATTCCCTTACTCATTCCTTATACCATGATTAGTATATTTTAGGAATGACCATTCCCAGAAGAGTAGACTGGGCTACAAGTTTAAAACTCATTTTCACCAAAATCAGATAATATTTTTCTTCAAATATGCATTGAAGTTGTGCTCGACGAGCTTCTTTATACTCATTTTGCACCGTATTTGATGTGATTTCACTAGTTTGACGTCGATCCCGTTTCTTAAAGAATGATGATATCAATGAGATTTTTCCTTTTTTGGCCGAAGGTTGGTGTTCCATGTGAATTTCTAAAAATTCCACAATACAAATAAATAGATTTTTCATAGGACATAGTTATTAGCAAAATAAATGCCTACACATCACATATTTATATCCAGCTATTATATACAACAACCATACTAGAGGATAAAAGATTAAAACACACACACACACACACAAATACTACTCCATACACAATCAACAAAACAAGAATTGCAACCAAGATCCTAACAATAACTATTAAAACCCTAAATAACTCAATCAAAATGAAAAGATAGACAAAGACAATTAGACAAATAAAATAAATATCTAATAGGGGGTTTAAAAATATAGGTTACTATTAAAGAATAAATTAAATCGTCTTCATGAAAATAGCTCTTTCTTGTTGAATATTTTTTTTTCCTTGGGTGGGTTAGTAAATTAATTTATTGGACTGGGCTAGAAATACAATATATTTTTCAAAACTCATCTCTATGAGATTAACCATTTCATATGAAATACAAGATTTTTCCCATTTCCATATGTGTAGGAATCATTTTATCAAAAAATAAAATTAACAAATAATAATAATAATAATAATAACTAAATTATTAATATATACTATAAATTATGATTTAACTATATTAAATAATATAATTCCAAAAAATAAATTTCAAATAAAAAATTTAAAAACTTATTTTTATTTATTGTTCATATTTTAATTAGATATATTAAATACTTATACAACAACAAACCGTTAAAATCTCACTAAGTGGGGTCGACTATATGCATCGCATGTTGCCGACTCGCCATCGTGCTCGATCAAAACACACATCAACATTCAAATTTAATATATGTAAAGTTATTTTTTATTATTTTCTTCCAAATTTTCTCAGGTCTACCCTCACACCTTTGATTTGCGTTCTTATTCTAATGTTTCTAAATCTCTCCTACGCACATGCCCAAACTATTTTATATAAAAATAAAACTAAAAATACATTTATAAATAATTTAAAAATAATTATTATATTTTTATAAATCATATATATTATAAATTTATTCATAAAATTGAATTATAATATAAAAAATTATATTGAACTACATGTGCTTATAGGGGTTTAGGTAATGCTATATTTGTATTAGCTAATATGTATATGAATACACATTTCACTAATTTATTATATAATATATTTGTTTGTAAAAATAGAAAAATATATTAATTAAAATATAATATATTTTTTAAAAAATTAATTTTATTATTATCATAAATAAAAAATAACATAAATATAAATATTAATTTTTTATATAAAATAGTCATAAATGATAATATAGAATGACATTGTCATTCCATAATTTAGGTCTAATTCCTTCTGCATATCAAACACATTAATGGAAAAACTGGTTCCATTCTATTTCCATATTTCATTCCATTCATCAACTCATTTTATTCGTATCAAATTTCATTACATTGTACCAATCATGCCATAAGATGAAACATGAGCATCAATCGTTTAAAACAATGTTTAATGCTCTTTAACACAATTAATTTGCAACTAGCTATCAAATAAATCGAAGGCCCCATCCTTGAATTAGTTCCAGGGGAGAGTCCTACTGGACAGCGACCAAAATTACCAAATATTTGGTATGGTGTCTGAATTTCAATGTCATGGCATCTTAGTATAGGATAAGCTGTAATATCACTATCAGGCCTACATAAAACCGCACGCAAATATTAATGAACCCATCAGTTCGTTATGAAAACTGAATACATAGCATTTAAATTATGCCATTAAGTTATAGTGTTTGTTGCCTGTGCGTCATAAATTGGATTTGGATTTTTTTATATTTTGTGGAATATTACTCACATAATCTTTGAAGAAATAAAGATAGAAAAATAAAATATTATTGTAAATAAACATAACAGGCTCATGCATGAAAAGACATGGTAACTAATCACGAAAATCACATCACAATAGGAAAATATATAGGTCCGATAATGATAAAACACACGATCCTTCATTTTCTGCTTCGGTTAGACAGAATTATACTTTAAAATGACACACGTCACATAGTATAAGTAATTAAGTATGCATATTTTTAAAAAAAAATAAAAATAAAAAATAGGACAACCATATGTTGTTTGACTGTTTCTCACAATAATTTATATGATTGTTGCTTAGTAAACATATAATGAAATGTGAACAAAGAAAAAGTACTGAATACAATCTTTATATGAAGATACAAAACACCAAACTGGTAGTTTGCAATTATCAGCATAAAATACTGATTGGGGTGAGTTTTCTAAGTTGAATCGACATACAACCTTATAAAATGTAAAAGTGTGTGAGTATGTGATCCAACTGTGAAAAATCCTGACCATCTATATATACATATACTTAAATCTTGTCAAGAAGGCACAAAACACAAATGGTAATTTCCAATTATTATTATTATCACAAAAATTAGATACATAATTACATACATATTATACCCAAATAGAAAACAAATAATAATAATAACAAAAACACTAAAAAATTAGAAGCGCGGGAAACCTTTACCCAAGCCCTCGACGTTAACGAAAAACCCCACGATATCTCGTCTGTAAGGCAAATACGATTTCTTCTTATTCCCTTCGGCAGCCTCTCGGTTCTGTAGGTACAGCGCCTCGTGAGCCGAGCGCGCGCCCTTTCTATCTGTTTCCTCGACCGGCAACCGGTCCTCCCGGTTTTTCTGTGCCAAAAAGTCGAATTTGCCCTTCCCCTCGCTGCTGCTGCGCAGCAGGTTACGGATACTCCACCGCCTGAGCGCCGACCCCGTCGAGCTGCTCTTCCTGCACCGGCCAGGTGACGGGTGCCACGCGCAGTACGCGCCCGCCGGAACGTCCTCCGGCTCTTCGGCCTCCGACGACGAGCACGACGCCGGATTTTCGCAGCCCTCGGCGAAGAGCTTGCTCAACGGAGCCGCGACGCGCGTTTCCGGCGGTATTTTTTCGTCTGGCAAAAGGTCTCGATCGAATAATGGGAATACGGTGCCGTTTTGGGAGTATCCGGCGAAATCGACGGGTGAAATCTCCCCGCCGTCGCGAACCGGGGCGAATTCGAAGTCGTCGTCGTCGTCTGATCCGATCCGTGCGGCGGCGCTCGGATCTCCGGCCGCCGGTCTCGCGGCGATCTGCGCTAATCGGTCGGAGGAGTAGCTGTTAAAGCTGGGACACGCGTACGCGTCTTTTTGCTCGGGATCCATTGTGTATTTGTGTGGAGATCTCAAAATCGCCTTTTTGCGTGGCTTTTATATATAAGCTTGTATTTGTATCTATATATGGTTGAATGATTTTTGGTGAGGGAAATAAGGGAGATTAGGGGAATCTTTATAATAAGCGAGCTTGGATTTCCCGGACGCAATTAGCAGTATTTCCAACACTAAATAAAGGAATATTGTTATAAAATTCCCCAAGATGGAAAAAAAATTGACATAGGGGTTGCAAAAATATAGTGAAATGCTTTAATTTTAGATGTGGTTTATTATATTAAAATAAAACAGTGTCATCTCTATATATAGAACAATAGAAAATATTCAAGCAGATAGACCTTTTGTTCACAAAGAACATTAATTAAAATTGTTACTCGGTGTTCATCGACGAAACAAAATGAGTTGCTTGTGAGTTTGGCTTGACTCGACTTGTACTTAAGGCTCGAGCTTGTCTCGGCTTGTTTCATAAATAAGTCGAGTATGAGTTCGTTTAGTTAATAAGTCGTGTCGAGTTCGGTTTGTCAAAGCTCGAAAGTATAATAAGTCGTGTTGACTTCAACTACTCAATCTTAATCACTCGATTAATCAATTTTACCTAACAGAACAAGCTCGACTCTAGTCGTTTACACCCCCAATTGCGCAACACTTATCACCTGTGTTATTAAAAAAAAGACATAGCACTTGGAAGATGGTTGATGCCAAGTGCTTGAGCACTTGGAAGATCTTGATTGGAGGAGAACATTGTCCTCGTTATTTTTGTTCTTGCGAGTGAGGAACCGACATGTGGTTACCCACTACGCTCTTGAAAGCCGCCTCGGTTGTATGACTTTCAATTTTGATCAATACAAATTTATTTAACGATCANCATAAATAAAAATCCTCTTTTACAGTTTCACAATATTTTTGTCAATAATAATAATAATAATAATAATAATAATAATAATAATAAAAAAGTGGCTTTCTAGTTTCTTTATGAGTAGAAATCCAGTCAAAACCCATATTACGTTAAATAGGAAAAATGAAACTAGATTAGATGGGATTTTATATATGAATCTAAGCTATATACATACGTAGTTGATGACATAATTAATTAGAAACTTTGAGATCTGAATGCATGTTTCTAAATTATGTAACCGTTTGATAAAGAAGTTCAAACAATTGAATTAAAATTAATATACTAATGTTCAATACAGTGACGACTGACGTGTGCTTCTAGAAAGAATTGTCAAATGTTCTATGACTTACGTTTGCAACCAGTGACGAAGTCAAACGTATGTCTTATTCCGATTAGAATGTACTGCGCTACAGGATATTTCTGTCATTTCAACGAAATAAATAAAGATTTCTGTCAATGTTGATTCAAGTGGAGATTTACTATTATTTTAAACAGCGTTTCAAAGCTGGTGATTTTTTTAATTGAAGATTTCTACAGACTACATGGTTTTAAATGTACTAGAAAATATGCCAAACATGCATGAGATGTAAATATGTATGGAGAATAAAAAATTATATATAGTCCAAATCACTTTTTTGGTGTTTGAAATTTACATTCAGCCAGTAAATTATATTGTGAATCATCTATAGGTGGGATTATGATGTAAAAAGATTCTAATCTCTTGCATTGCTCTTTTTTACCTTGGCCAACGATATTAAACGGATCGATATACAAAAATATATTTATATCATATTATTTATATCATATTTTTATTTATCATATTTTTAGTTATATCATTAAATATATATTTTTAAATAAGAGTACGTAAATTTACAAAAATATATTATGTCCGTTAGAAGAACTAATACATTGCTAATAAATCGAGCACACTTGAGACTAATATATTATGTCCGATTAGAAGAACTAATATATTGCTAATAAATCGAGCACACTTGAGACTAATATATTATGTCCGATTAGAAGAACTAATATATTGCTAATAAATCGAGCACACTTGAGCACACTTGAGACTAATATTAGTAGTCATTTGTAACATGAATTCTTGTGTCAGCTCGACCTTTAAACATACCAATCTACCATATTTTGTTAACAAAAATGCATATTTATATTTATATTGTTTTTAGAGTACATTTAATTTTAGGAGTAGACACGCATAATTTAAAAACACATTTATATCTATAGTGGTTTCAGGGTACATTTAAATTTAGAAATATACACACAATCTATAGAAAACATATGAATATCAACCTTTAGACCTATCTAACACCACTCAGATATTAAATCTTTAAAGGTAGGTCATGATAGTTGGATACATATCTGAAGAAAATGATAATGAAGATATTTTGATGCTCTGTTAATTTTTGGGACAAAATCAAAATCTCATTTCACAAGCGGTTCATTTAAGTAGCCCGCTCAAATTCAAAAGTGCACCCATCCTAATACGACATCGTTCCATATTAATAAAAACAAAACAACAAAAAAACAAAAAAGAAATAAAAGAAAAACGCATGACAGACACATGTTCATCACCCCCCCGTCAAGTTGGAGCAGGGTTGAGGAAAACCATGCCCAACTTGAAAATAAAAGAAGAAAAATGCGCAGCAGGGAGAATCTTGGTAAGAACGTCAGCAAACTGAGCTCGGGTAGGAACATAGCGTGGCTCAATGAAACCTTCCTTGAACTTGTTACGAACAACGTGACAGTCAATTTCGAGGTGCTTCGTACGTTCATGGAACACCGGATTTGCCGTGATGTGCATTGCAGCTCGGTTGTCACACCACAAAGTAATAGGTAGACGTGGATTAAGGCGCAAAACAGTAGCAACAGCATGAATCCACTGTAGCTCGCAAACGGTGGCAGCCATGGCCCTGTACTCGGCCTCGGCCGAAGAACGCGAGACGGTCGTCTGCTTTTTGCTTTTCCAAGAAACCAAATTTGGGCCCAAGAACACACAATAGCCAGTAATAGAGCGCCGTGTGTCCTTGCAGGCCGCCCAGTCGGCATCACAATAGGAACTAAGGTCAAAATTACCACCAGCAGCATAGAAAAGACCAAGTGAAGATGTCCCTTTCAAATACTTCACCACATGAAGAGCAGCTGTCATGTGATTGGTAAAAGGATTGGTGACAAACTGGCTAAGCTGTTGTACAGCATAGCTAATATCAGGTCGAGTGAGGTTGAGATACAACAACCTGCCAATGATTCTTCTGTATTGGTCTGGTTCAGCCATAGGGTTCCCATCAAAACTAGAAAGCTTCAAGCCATGAGGAAGTGGAGTATGAGTTTCTTTACAATCAAGTAAACCAAGATCCATGACCAAGTCTGTGATGTATTTTTATTGGCATAGACTAAGTCCTTCAGTGCTCCTTGTGATTTCAATGCCTAAAAAATATCTGGCATCCCCTAGATCCTTGATAGTGAACTCTTGGTGCAAAAAATCTTTCAGAGATTGCATTAGAAGAGGGGAAGACCCTGTAAGGAGGACATCATCAACATAAACGAGCAGTGCTAGGAATTCCCCATCTTTGTGTTGTGTGAAAAGGCAGTGATCCTGGGAAGATTGCTGCAGCCCATAAGCCAATAGTTTCTGGGATAATTCTGAGTTCCATTCTCGAGATGCTTGTTTTAAACCATATAAACTCTTAATGAGTTTGCAAACCTGCCCCTCCTTAAAACCTGTGTATCCTTGTGGTGGTTTCATAAAAACTTCCTCATTGAGGTGACCATGCAAAAAAGCATTGTTCACATCCAATTGCCACAGATTCCAACCCTTCATTGTTGCTAAAGCCATAAACAATCTCACTGTGACCAACTTGGCAACAGGTGAGAAAACCTCAAAGAAATCCACACCCTCCACTTGATTAAAACCCTTGGCTACCAACCTCGCTTTAAATCTGTCAACCTCTCCATTAGGCTTTCTTTTGATTTTATACACCCATTTGGAGCCTATATCCTTCTTACCAGGGGGTAAATAACACATTGTCCATGTTTGATTTTGATCCAAGGCCTGCAGTTCCAGATTCATAGCTTCCACCCATTTGGCATCAGTTTTAGCTTGATCATAACTCAATGGTTCTTCCTCATGTGCTAGGTTAACCAGAAATTGATCTGCATTTGTGGTTTGTTCCTGCTCCCTATCATCACAGATATAGTCTCTCATCCACAATGGTTTTGTCCTCACTCTCTTTGTGTTGATCACAGATTGCTCTTCCTGTTCTCTTGTATCAGGTGTGGTTGGGTTTACTGAGATATGAGGAGGTTCTGATTGATGGGCATCAGATGTTGGTAAGGGAATAGGTGAGAGAGGTTCCTGAACTGTTTCAGACTTAAAAGGGAAAGTGTTGGGAAAGAATACCACATCTCTGGACACAAACCTTTTCCCTTCCTCAAGGTCATACAAGTAATAGCCTTTGCAGCCGACAAGATATCCAATGAAGACACATTTATGTGATCTGGTGTCAAACTTTCCTTTCAAAGGTGAAGTGTTAGCAGCATAGACTAAACACCCAAAAGGTTGAAATCTGCTATAATCAGCTTCCTTCCCATAAATTCTGGCAAAGGGTGTGCTCCATCCCAAGGCTGTGCTAGGTAGTCTATTGATAATATAAGCTGCAGTCAACACTGCATAACTCCAGAATGAAAGTGGCAAACCTGATTGGAAAATAAGACTCCTTGCAATTTCCAGAAGTTGTCTGTGTTTTCTTTCCACCACCCCATTTTGTTGGGGTGTGTAAGCACAACTCTTCTGATGAAGGATTCCATTTTTAGCCATTAAATTCTGACATTTCTCCCCAACAAACTCCAAACCATTGTCACTCCTTATTCTTTTGATTACTTTGCCAAACTGAGTTTTAGCCATCAACAAAAACTTCTCAATGTATCCTACTGTTTCCCCTTTTGTCTTCATCAGATAGACCCACACACCTCTGCTGTAATCATCAACTACTGTGAGAAAATATGGTGTGTTTGTCAGATTGTCCTCTCTGCAAGGTCCCCATATATCAACATGTATCATCTCAAAAATGTCCTGTGACTGTATTTTGCTCAAAGGAAATGGTGCTCTATGCTGTTTAGACTTGAAGCAAGTGTCACACTCTCTCAATACATCCCTGTCAGTACAGTATCCTTTCAAAAAACTGATATGTTGCAACACTCCTAATGAGGCATGACCCAGAACTTTGTGCCAATGCTCAAGGGTTACATTACATGCTACCTGATTGTCTTTGTGTTCCTGCTCCATGGTTAGTATGTAAAGTTTCCCTTGCAATTTTCCATGCCCTATCCTCATTCCTGTCACCTCATGTTCAAAAACACAGTGATTTGTAGTGAAAGTGCACCTGAGGTTTGAAGATGCACATAGTTGTGTGACTGAAAGGAGGTTGTATTTGAATGAGGGTATTAATAGCACACCATAGAGAATTAAGTCCTTTGTTAATTCTACTTCACCCATCTGAAACACTTCTTTAACAGTGCCATCTGGCAGGTAAATGGTAATTGGTTTGGAAAGGATTACCAAATTTGTCATTAGGCTTTTGTCTGTACACATATGTCTACTGGCACCTGTGTCAATTACCCAATCCTTTCCTGTAACATTATCATACATTGACAGTGCATAATCTCCCTCATTAGTGGCAAAATGCACAAAATGCTCCTCCTCCATTTCTGTGTGTCTTCCTTTTCCATCATTACTGCCTTTACCAAGAATCTTAGCTACTTCTTGAGCCAATTTAGATATGTCACCCATCGAACTAAGTCCAGATCCAGACATGACTTGACCGTTCTCCTTTATCTCAGCAACATTAGCCATTCCTTTCATTCTGTTATCCCTCATTTCTTTGAACCAGTCTGGATAACCATGTAACTTGAAACATGTGTTCCTTTCATGTCCCTTCCATCCACAATTGTCACATGTCAGTTTAGATTTCTCTTCCTTAGACAACCTTTGTCCACCTCTACCTCTTCCATAAAGAGACTGATTATTAGAGAATTTGCTATTCACACCTCTACCAAATGATGTATTTGTCTTGAAAGACATTGCCATTCCTGAATTGAAGTCATCACTTCCAACCTGCACAGACCTCTGTCTTTCAGCTGACAGTAACATGGAGTAAGCTTTGTGAACAGTGGGCAAAGGATCCATTAGTAACACCTGATTTTTCACATGCTCATAACTCTCATTTAGCCCCATCAAAAACTGCATAAGTCTATTTTGTTGATATTGCGCATCCAACTTTTTTCCAACCTCACACGGACATATCAGATGAGGTACTAAGCATCCATACTCTTCCCATTTTCGCTTCAATTTGTTGAAATATATCATAACTGAATCAGTTCCTTGTTTCAGATTCGAAATCTCCCTTTGTAGTTGGTAAATCAACGGACCATTACTTTCACCAAAGCTTTGACAAATCTCGTCCCATAATTCTCTAGCAGTCTCAGCAAAAACAAATCCATCGGCAATATCCTTAGAAATTGAGTTTAAGATCCAGGAAATTACCATACAGTCGACTTTCTTCCATTTTTCAAAATCTGGATCTTCTGCATCTGGTGGTTGAACCAAGCCATTGATGAACCCTATCTTCGTCTTCGCACCAAGTGCGATCATCATTGATCTTTTCCATGTCAGAAAATTGGCTCCTGTCAATGGATGCGAGACCAATTGTAAGCCTGGGTGATCCGAGCCATGAAGGAATAGTGGATTATCTTCACGAGTTTCTGTTGCAGCGCCTGTTCTCGCATTTAGTAGTGGCCATGCTTCATGTGGATTGCGATTCGCCATTAAAAATCTCGTCGAGCTTTAGCAAGCTGGACCTGCTCTAGATACCATGAAGAAAATGATAATGAAGATATTTTGATGCTCTGTTAATTTCTGGGACAAAATCAAAATCTCATTTCACACGCGGTTCATTTAAGTAGCCCGCTCAAATTCAAAAGTGCACCCATCCTAATACGACATCGTTCCATATTAATAAAAACAGAACAACAAAAAAACAAAAAAGAAATAAAAGAAAAACGCATGACAGTCACATGTTCATCAATATCCACCACACGAAAATTAGCTCATAATAACCAATATACATGTAAAAAAATTTCTCCCCACACCACAAGAGTTCTAACTATACAAAACAAATCTAATATTCTTTTTGTTACCCAATCTCTCTTACCATCACCACCAACCAATAATCATATATCTCAATATTTACTCAGCAACGTATCTTCCTCTTTCCCCACTCTTTCCACAATTACCCTCCCCCCATCGGGCCCGTCCGGGCCCAACGGTCCCCCTCCCTCAACCCTCATCCTCTGGATCACATCATGGACCATAGGGCAAAACTCGGTCTGTAAGGCCCTGTAGAGATAGTACGGCATCAGGGCCGACACCACCACAAGTAATGTCACCAACCAGTAAAATGCTGACGTGGCGCATGCCTCGACAAAGACCCGATAAGCCGTGGTGGATATAACGGGCGTGATGGACCCGTAAACAAGCAGGAACACATGCCAGGTGGCGGTGCTGCCCCAGATGACGAGGTGTTGGATCCAAGTGAAGTAGTTGATGGAGAGCGCCAGCTGGCAGTTGACGGTCCAGACGACACACGTGTACATGAGGACGCCGAGGACCTCGTAATCGAGCGAGTGGCCGTCATGGCGGAAGGCTTGAAGAAGGCCTGATTTGGTGGTGAAGAAGAAGATGATCATTGAAGTGAGAATGCCGTTGGAGATCCAGCCGAGCACGCGGGTCCAGCTGAAGAGGATGTTGTCAACTCCCTCACGGTATAGGGCCGGGTACTGTAAACGACCCGTTTATTACGAGAGAGTGTGTGAAATTTGAGGTTAGGCTTCGGAATTAGTAGCATTTGCAATTAGGTATAAGTTTCCGGGAGTTTGAGTAGCATTTTGAGTTTTTTAAATTTGAGACTTTTTAAAGCTTTCAGAAGATTTAAGAGGAATTCTTGGAAATCTTATGTCTGTTTGTTTGTTTGGAGGTGAGATTTCTCGTATATGGTTTTTGTTTTTGAAATCTTAGTAATTTTTTTTTCTTTTTTTTGCTTTTTGCGAAATCGAGACAAATCTAAACGATAAGTAAATTGAATACTTCGTGATTATTTAAAACGTTTAGAAATCTCAAAGTGAATATCTCGAAAACTTTTAAAGGTCTTGAAAAGTTGAAAAATATAAGTTAAATACATCAGGATTCTTAAAATCTCAAAATTGTTAAGAATTCCAAATGAATACACGAGTTTTTCTCGGGGATTTCGAAATTTTAATAGTTTTCCTCACGGTTTTCGCTTTCTCAAATCCAAATGGTAAAAAAATTTGAATACTTCGTGATTATTTAAAACTTTTTGAAATAAAAATGGTATCCAAATGAATACACAAGTTTTTCTTGGGGATTTCGAGGATTTCAGGTTTTTCCGCATGGTTTCCGTTTTCTCAAGTTCTTATTATTAATTTTTTTTTTTTACGAAATTACTTTCCACTTTTTTGGTGTTCTTTTTTTAGAAATTTAGATTCATACTCTTATTGCAGATTTTAGCAGGGAAATGGGTTACCTTTAGACAGAGTCGAGCAGAAACATCCTGGTCGAAAACACCAAGTGCGATCACGGGAAGTGAAGTAAAGAACACGTTGTAAGTCGACATGTACCAATCGTTATAAGCTGGTTGTCCGGAGAAAGAGGCGTGAGCTTCGAACCAGAATAGAGTGAACCCAAAAGCAATGTTCTTGTAAAAGAAATAGCATATCTTCATCCGTCGCATCAGAACAGAAGCAACGCCAATTTAGAAAGGTACAACCAAAAAATAAAAAGTAATAATAAAAGAACGACTCGTGACATTGTTCATGTATTAACATGCATTATATATTTATCTTCAACGAGACGAAAGTATTACCATCATAGATATTCGTCTGTAGCACCAGTGGCCGTGAACCAACAAAAGCCTTTCGAGAAACCGAAACTGAGCTATAGCAAAGTCACTCGACATTGAAGCCTAAAAAGAAAAAAGAGGAATCACACATCCACAAAAGGAAATGCGTGCTTGTTTACAAATAAATCCGTTCAAAATGAGTTTTTCAATTAACCAGGTGAAAAAAGTTGGATGGGTTAGTTGTTAGTGGGATTTTGATTTCATATTAAATTAATATTTAAAATAAAATAATTAAAGTTGATTTGATGCAAAAATATGAGAGAAATGATGTGAAGTGATAGTTAGTTAGAATTATGTGAGTGGATGGATAGCGAATTAAAGTTGATGTAATGTATAAGAGTGATCGGTTTGTATTATTTAATTATATTGATACTCATAAGGATAGTGAGGTAGACTTAAAGTTAGTCAGATTTTGAAAATGAATTATTTTGTAAACTAACATGCTCTTAGTACACGATAAACGGACCAAACTGGAATTTAAGTGCTAAATACAGGAAAATCCTCGACTGAGAACAAATGTTGAGGTTACCTGCATGCCTTCAACACCACTTATGCCAACCCCAATATCAGCTTCTTGAAGCATTCCCACATCATTTGCCCCATCTCCAATAGCCAGAGTTGTTCTGCCCTTGACCTTTTTAACCAATCTTGTAACCTGAAAATCTTCAAAAGTGACATTGAATTACATTGTCTTAAAAATACAGAAGACAGNNNNAAAAAAAAAAAAAAAAAAAGAAAAAAATGAAAGCTACAGAATGTACAAATAATAATTAATAATACATACAAGTGCTTTCTGTTTAGGCGTGGACCGGCAGCATATGACAGATGCACAATTCATTGCAAGATCCAAAAACGAGTCTTCCAGATTCTTGTTGAGTGCAAAAGCCAATGACTTGCCATCAATTATCAAGCCAAAGGCAGCAGAGTTTCCTCCAGACAAGCTCAACTGAAGTTTTCCTTCTCGGATTTGATTTGTTATGCTTGTGCTTGAAGCCTAAACATGGACATACCAATAATTAAGAGGTATGATGCTAAAAATAGAAAGGATATGGATATACAAGAATATGTACCTTTGCAACAACCTCTTTGTCTCCATGTTTTTCTAGCTCTGTAATCTCGGACGAGTCTAAAGTAATTACTATTTGCTTCATGTCGTCTCTGAGTAAGCTACAAGCATACCTGCAGAAGAAGGTATAAACTATGTTTGGTAAACCTAGCTACTGGTAAGCTAGCTTGTAGTTTTTAAGTGAATTTTGAGCTTATAGCTGATAGATTATGACTTATGGTTGAAAAGCTAGCTTATATGATACAAGTGTTTAGTAAAATTAGCTTAAATAAAAATTTCAATTGGCTTATTTGAAAAACTATCCAAGTAAGCTTATGAGATAATCTCGAGCTTTTTAAAAAAACTCGTCCTACCAAACCAAGTTTATTTGAACACAAGAAGCTTAGAAGCTAATCAAAGAAGCTATAACCTTACCAAACACAGCCGTAGTGTTAAAACACCAAAACTATTGTTGTTTAAATAGGAATTGGGTTGTTTAAAATCTTACCCAATATTTATGGCAGTCTCCATCTTATCACCTGTTATAACCCAAATTTTAATTCCAGCATTTTCAAGCTTGGTAATGCATTCAGGGACCTGCATAGCACAGACAAAATATTATAAAGAAAAAAAAAAAAGATCAAGATTGGATACCATCAAAAAACAAAGGAGACTTAATGAACAAAAAAAAAGTAAATACGAAATTTGAGATTACGATTTACGACTCACCCCCTTTTGCAGTTTGTCCTCAACGGCTGTAGCACCAAGGAGAACTAAGTTCCTCTCTATCTTATCAGCACATTCCTCCACTAATGCATCTCTATCGGCAGTTAAGGATGTTTGGGCCATCAAAAACTCCTCTTCCCATGACCTAAATTCCGATTCACTGAGCTCACGATATGCAACTACTAAAGTTCGTAGCCCGGCTTCAGCATATTTCTTGATATGATCCTTTGTTACAGCCATAAAATCTTGCACATCATCTGAAAGCCTTTCAAACATCACGCTGCATGAAGAAAAACAAATAAAGATGTTCAGACATCACATTCACGATCCAGTTATAAACAATAAACATTTTTT